TATCAACTGATACCCAAGTAACTAGCATCAAGGTCAGAACTTTCGGCTGCTTGTATTGGTATGAATTCACCTTTTCTGGTTTCAATAGAATTATACTGATATCAATACTGATACCGAAAGAGATGTCACTAAACCTTCGATTGGTTTATATGGATTTATACAAAATCTCTAATTGACATGAATAGACCTCTTCTAAACTATGAAAGTTGAGGAAAATTAAGACTGGTATTAGTAAACCAAAATTCATGGGTATTCCCGTTCTCTGTATACTGATTATTTTGAATTACTTATAATTTTATTTCTACTTTTATTTAATTTATTTGCTCTTGTTGAAATTGAAATTATTTTAGTTTTGTAACCAAAAGGAAAGTTTAAAATTAAAAAACACACAGTAAACTCTCTCGTCCCTACCACTTCCCTAAGGCGACCACTTTTGAAAGCCATGAGTATTTTTAAGACTATAAATAAACATGAACATGAAATATGACCTTTCTTTAAGACTATTAGAATAACCTGGAAACTTAGATAATCATCTTAGAGAGGAATCATTCCATATACTAGTTTTCTTCTTTATTTTTCATAAACTTTAATCCAAAAAAAAACTCACACAGTAATCGATACTTACGTACATAATTATAGTATAATTAGTTCTCACAGAATGAGGTCTCTTTAAGGTGAAAAGCTAAAGATCGAGAAATTTTTGCTTTGAGGATGGTCACTTTAGAGAAACGATTTTAACATACACTCATGTCCATAAATTAAGGATAATGCAAAATCAGGCAAAGGAAGAGTTAGAAGCAAAACAAATTTGACTTATTTGTAAAGCTTATTTATTAAACAAAAGGTACAGAGCAAAAAAAAGATGCTATATGCTTGACATTATTAAAAAAATAGCGATTTTTTCTCCCTGGAGCAAATTACAAAAAAAAAAAAAAAAAAAAAAAATTCCGAAGTTCCGGTAGACATGTAGGATGAGGTTGACAGGCTGCATATCGTCGGCCAAGCATGTCCCACACGTGCGGTACTGGATTCCAGTCCGGTGAGAATGCTGGTCAGTCCATACGGGTGATATCCTCCGATTGAAGGCATTCGCTTACGATTCTGCACGGTGAGGACGGGCGTTGTCATCCTAAAACAAATGTGCGCCTGTGGCGCCCGAAACAAACGTACATGTTGTTACAGAATGACGTCCGATAGTTTGACTTGTCATAGTTCCAATTGAACATGCAGGTCAGTTGGAACCAGAATATTCCACCCCAAACGAGCACTCCTGCACCACAGAATGTTCGTTCAAACATGTTTTTCTTGGTGGTAAGGGTACCTGGCTCTCCATATGAAATTCCCGGGAATCAGACTGCAAGCTAACCTGGACTAGGAAACATCACACAAGCCCACTGTTGCGGTGTCCACAGGCCTGCTCTATCCAGGTAACGGCAGGCGACTGAGTTGCAGTACAGTGAACGCGTCTGACAGGTCTACGAGCATTAGACGAATCTGCCCTAATCGTCTGTACACGGTCTGCCTTGAAATTGTCGTACCAGTGGTTGAAGAGAGCTGAGGAACAGTCTGAGCTGTGCTCCGCCTGTTTCTTTGGCAGTAATGCCAAATACCGGTTTCATTCGGCGTTGTAACTCTGGGGCCCCTGTCTGTAACGTCTACTCACATTACCAGCTCTTGGAATCGTTGCCAAGCCTGGAGATGACACTCTGGCAATTCCAAGTTCGTCTGATACTTCCAGTTGGGTCGCCTGCCATTCGGCCGATTCTACCGGTAAAAATACCCAATTGCGTCTTTTGTGTCATAACTATTCGGTTACTGCACTGAAATGCTTATAAAGCCTGCGAACATTTTTCTACTTTGGCCTGTATTCCGTATATATCACTCTCGTACATACGCGTCATGGTGACGTACCATCGGTGTCATCTTGTTACTTCGGAATTTGTATTGATTCTTGGTGTTTAGTGATTTTAGGTGATATATTTATTTTGCGATTCCGCGTGAATTATCCTTAATTATGGACATGAATGCGTTCGACCGTCATCCACGACCATGAGCACAAACACGCATGCGCCATTCGTACCGAGTTATTCTCAAAATAGGGTGGAAGGATGAGGGCTTTCTTTTCCTCCAGCATAGCTCTTTCCGGAGACGAGAAGACCTTTCACATCGCAGCAAGTAATACCGCCCTTTTTGGACAAGACTATATGTTTTGGCAGAATGCCAACGAGGGTTGCTCTTGAGACGGTCGAACAATACAAATATATGCTTATGCTCTCAGAAATACTCGTTTCTTTTAGGAGCGGTCGTCTTAGGAAGGTTGTCACCACGAGTTGGTTCACTAAATGCATACACATACATATTAATATACGGCTATGTCAACATTTCTGAGAGTACAAATAAACTGGTACTGAATATCTTCTCTTTAAGGCTATTGCTTTCAGAAATGACCAAAATTTTCTATGATTTAGGTAATTGTTATTATGAAGCTTACGAGTTAGCCTACGAGCATTCGTATTGATCTACAGGCGTTTGTCTGCTGATTTTTATGGGATATGGCCTACGGGTATCCATACAACGTTGTTGGTTTTGTTTACGGGTACCCATAGGACAAATCCCCGCAAAATCTTTTTCGGAGCTGTACAGGGCATTTTTAGCAAGATAAAGTCTCATTGGTAAAAAAGAAGTGTTTTATGTTGCGAGAAACAGCGAATTTTATCGAATGAACAAATTGTTTTAGTGAAATTCATTCAAGATCTTATTATTCATTCACTTCCTATCATAATTTTAACAAATTTTCCTTTGGAAAAGAATGTATTCTGTAGAAAATCATCTGAATTTTGTAAAAATGTATGTATTCTGTAAAAAAAATCAATTGTATTCTGTAAAAATTTATCTGATGTTCAAAAAAAAAATTCATTTCATTGAAACATTAGGGTTAACAGGTTGTAAAAACAGGTTGTAAAACAGGCTATTCAACTATTGCTTGTAGACAAAAAATGCATAAGTATATTAGGTTATGATTGGCTCCGCTTATTAGCAAAATTTGTCTAAAATGTATACATTCTGTTAATTCTAATACGATTGAGAAGGTAATTAAATAATTTGATGATATTTTACTAACACATTAGACTGTGATAAAGGACTTCGTATATCACGTCCGATGAAATTTTTTGCAAATGAATTTTTTAGGTTAAAAACGTTTCTTTTACTATTCTTTTTAAAATTAGGGTTGTTTTAGATGAACTTCTCCCAGAAGTCGTCTCTGAATCCATTACAAATCCTGCTTGGTGAACATTGATTGTTTCTGCTGTAGGGTTTATATTTATTTTACCTAACATTTATTTTAAGCTATCTTTCCTGTCAAGCCTTTACTTTCCCCTAGAATTGCCAATGCCAGAGTATGTAAATCGTAGCAGAAAGCGCAGAGTATTCAAATTTTAGCAGAAGTAAATTGAGTTTAAATAGAAGGGAAACGAGATTGTAAGTGTGCTTTCTTGAATCACGAGCGTGAAGGTTGCTTGGTAGAAAGTTTAAGAACCGCGCGTTTCGGCCTGTGTGCCTACTTCGGCAGTTAGTTGAATCTTTCAACTTATTAATCAGAAAGTTTGCTGAATCTCAGCTGTATCTTACAACGCGGTTAAGATAGTTACGATTATAGAGCCTCGTAGATAGTGACTTCGTTAGTTATTCATTCTGTCATTTATTTTTAGTTGTATTTTTCTATTTTTGTTTAAACCGCCGGGTCGCGTAGTTTGTGAGACGTCAATGAACGCAACTGTGATTCTAATGAATAAAAAAGGAGTTAAACCCTTCTTAAGAGTCTGTGTAATTTCCAGTTCATAGCAGTCACTACTACTATTGCTGAAAAGTTGGGGCCTCCCAACATCACACTGTAATCATCAGTAAGGATTTCTCATCGGAAGAAATTCTTTCATGTTTTGAGTATAAAATCCCTGTAAATACTGAAATGAAAATACTCCTTATCCCATTCTCAGTGTAAATTATTTATTATCTAATTTAAGAGCAGGAGTTTATTTATCAAAAGTCGATTTTGATCAAGCATATATTCAGTTTTTATTTGTTGTTAAATCAGTTGAGGCTGAGACATTTACCAGATATTTAGCTGCTTACAGTGCTCATGAAATATTTTAAAACCTTATTGATGACTTATTTGGCGAGCTAGAAAGCGTTATTCTATATTTTGATTACATTTTTATAAAAGTTATGTCTTATTGAAAATATTTTGATAAACCGAAGCGTCTTAGAGAAATATGCTTGCATAAAAATAAAATAAAATGATATTTCGGTTTAACCTAATTAGAAGTCCTGGGATATAAAATTAATGCAGAAGGTATTCATAAACGTAAACTCAAAGTCAAACAGTCTACTGCAGTTTCCAAGAATAAAGAATACTAACAAATATTTTGTGTTATTTTTTTTTTCGTACTTTTCTTCCTGATGAAGACAATGTGGAATCTCTTCATAGCTTGTTGGGAAAAATACTGCTTAAAAATGGATTCTGAGCATAATAAAAAGTAATAAAAAATAATTTCATTTGCTTTTGCCTCTAGAATTCTATATTTTACTGAAAGAAATTTCGCACAAATTGATAAGGAAGGCTTAAGTAGTATCGCATGTGTTAAGAAATTCCAGAAGTTTCGTTTGATCAAAATTTCACAACTATGAATGATCATATGTATCCTTTGGGACACTTTCTTAAGTCGAAACATAAAACTTAATGTTCTTATGTGATATCACTCAGCATTTCAGTGAATTGAATAAAAAGCTTCAGAGAAATGGACGAATTGTATCAATGATGTTTGAAAATATTAAAATAGTTATGACGAAACGTGATATCTTCTCTTAAGACTTGAAACGAAAACCTTGAGATAACTTCCTCAATAACAAAAACATTTTTAAAACAAAATATGCATTGAAAAAGCGCTTGACATTCAAGGAAATGCAATTAAAAATGTTTAATCAGTACACAGGAAATAAAACAAGATTTTAAATAAAGCTTTAATCATTTAAAAGTCTAGAAAATACATTTCACTTTATTTTATATCCATACAAAGCGGAGTTTTTACTCCAAACAATGGAGTTTACCGAATTTATGTGAGTATCAACAGCACAACACGACTGACAGTCTTGTAGGCAGAAGGATGATGGGAAATAAGAGGAGTGTGCGTGCTTTATACAGATTTTGACAACCCCTTAGGGATTTCAGCAGTTAACTGGAACCCAAGGAAGTTAAAATAGGCTATTCTAACCTCTTTGAACCTCCTTGCTGGAACCGGTAATGTGTCGTTGGACTCAGTCCGTGGGTAACCTGCAGTTGTTTTATGTCGGATGTCTAATCCTGTCTAGGGATATGACTACGTGAAGCGGTGAACTATCTGTGGTTCATCAGAAACTCGGCAATTCATGTGAATTTATAATTCTTGAAATTAATTGTCAAGTTTACGAGTTTAAATTTCAAATTGTTATGATTTAAAGCTTAGTTCCATAAATGTGATTGGGATTACATTCAATCAACAATATATGTAGGAGTTAACCATTAATTATCCATTTATATTTCCCTTAAATTTCCTGGTGGCACTGTCAATGATAAATCACGTAACGGAATTCGAAACATGCATCAGCTGGTTTGGGAATGAGTCTGCAATCTGGCATTATTGAGGGCGGCAGGCTCTGCTAACGGCTTTTACTTCTGTAAGAATATATTGTAATTACGCTTCCTTTGAGTACAGATAAATTCTGCTAATGCGAATAATAATGTGTTGAATAAATACGTTCAAATCAAAGAAGTGACTTTTAAGTGTTTGCCTATTCTTACACAAGCTCAGTGTGTCGCCTGCGGAATGACGCAAGGAAACAGACAGCTGGCTCTAAAAGAAACTAATGCTTTTATGCGAAATCAAATCAGTATAAGTTTGGACTATGGGATTATTTGAGCACGAAGTGGAAATAGATAGGTGAATGTTTACTCTGATGCAGAATATAGTACCAGATAAACTATCAGAGAGTGAATGAAGTGGAAAGGGTCTGACCAAGCCTAATTAAATTTTAGTAAAAATGGTGTTTAGTTTTAGAAGTATGAAATTACGGAAGAAACTTCTGCTGATTTAAAGATATTATTTTAAATAATGTAAAAAACAGCACAAAAACAGGAGCTTCTATGAGAAAAGCTTCATCTGATATTCCTTTCAATAAGATGTCGGATCAAAAGCTAAAGCGTTTGATTATCCCAAGATTATATAGTTCCCAAGATTGTTTATGCAACAAAAAAAGACCTTATGCATTCACTGCTAGGCTGTGATTTCAGGGAGCACAGTAGCTGTTAATACTGTAATAAATCAAATTATTATCACGGTAAAAGATTTTAGTGCATAAAATTTTCTTTTACCTGAATCCTTAGAAAATGAGAATAGTTATTTTGTTTTTGAATGTTTTAAGACATTGAAAAGAGGAGAAACAATTCAGTATTCTGAACTTTCGTCTTTAAATTAAAGCGCATGACCTGTATGTATATAAATGTGGATTATGGTGCTAGAGCGGAAAATCGAGCAGCAGTTTCTTTGTTATGGATCAATAAATCGAATTACAATATAGTGTGGTAAATATCCTAGGCATCCTCAAAGCATTGTTTGTATAGAATTGCAGATACCGAATCAGTAATGACTTTTCCAGCTTTTGAGGAGTTTAGGTTTCGAGTATGCATAACTAAAGTATTTCCAAATCTTAGTAACCACCTAGGTCCTGCCACAACTAGCAAACCACCTAGAGGAAAATTTCAAAATGTTCTTTCTTTCATTATCAATGTAGGAGAAGACCATACAGGAGACGCACTTAGTTTTCTCCAAATTATAAGGTGCCCCTGAGGTCAGTGACACATAAGATGGCCGAATCTGTCGATTAAGCATTCGCTATCCATTTATATTTCTCTTGAATTTCTTGGCAACATTGTAAAAGATAAATCACGTGATGGAACTCTAAAGATGCTATATCGGTTTGAGTTTATCGTCTGTAATTTGTCGTTACTGAAACCGGTAGGCTCCGATAATTCTTCTTCTTCTGTAAGAATATGTGTTTATAGTATAATTATGTTTCTTTTGAGTAAAAGGAAATATTGTTATTAAGAAGAGTGACTCATCGCTACGTAAAACTGCCCTGACAGAACGATATCGTATATGTTATTCAAATTCACTGTTACCAAGAGAATCTATTGAGAGTATTTTATGAACACCATTTGGGCTTTGAGTGAGATCCTGGTTTTTGAATGTGCCAGATAATAGACAAAGCATCTGAGGCAGTAAAAGCTTCAGGATATTTTTCAGTAAAAGCACAAAATTCAGACAAACTAATTTTCGAAAAATTTAACTTTCGAACGAGTGGCTTAAGGATTTCATTCAAAGGGGTTTTGCTGTTTCTGTTGGCTATACCCCATTCCGTTAATAACACTAAAATTTCATGCACTGGAATGTTAGTGAGTGTCATATCTGAAATTCTCATCACTGCCTGGGGTTGTAATTTTTTGAATTCTTGCACAAGTAGTCCTTTGTGTTCTTCATTTTGATATGTTCTTCTGTTGTCTCCTTTAATTCTAGTTAGCAAATATTTTGATACTGTTTTAGGCAAATTTAAAGCAGCTGCGTTTTTGAACACACTCAGAAACGTATGTTCGGAATAAAAGTCGTAGCGGGCACAAAAGAAATCATCGATATGTTTTTTGAGGTCCAGAGCATCATATTTTTCTGCAGCTTTACAAGTTTCGAAAGCAACTTCAAAATCTCTAATGGAAATTTCTTCTGCATAAAGATACCTGCAACACAACATTAAGGAATTAGATTGTAATCGTTCTGAGCATAATTATTACGTTATTACAGAGGGTGATTCTCTACCATACCAACAAACTTACAGGGTGTGCAGGGGATACAGAGATAACTCGGGATCACAAAGGATGCCGAGTCGCAAATGCCGTAGTTGCGAGCTATGGTGCAAAGAAGCAGTGCAAAAGCACAGAGACAACAACACATTAATGAGAGAGAAAAAATTATTGAAGATTGTATTGCAACATGTGTTCGAAATTACGACAGAAAGTTGTCAGGAAGGCTTGACACTAGAACTTAACTTTCTAGAAGTTTCCTCTCAGCAGTCTTGCGTAGATGGCGCTGAACGGAAGTCGGTGGTTGGACCAGGAAAGTAACCTAAACAGGCGTGCTCCACATCACACGACCTTCGCAAGTCTGAACAGAAGGTTACGTGAGACTAGTTGTTTAACCAGAGCTACAATGAATGGTCAGCAAATGACGATGACACCTGGCAATGAGGAGGCAGCAAAGACAATGGCCGAAGACATACCATCTTCCTCGCATCCAATTATTAGAGCCTGAGGATTATCCACTCCGGAGGAAGTTTCGTACACGGTTCTTGCAACAGAGTACTACAAGCAGCGCATTTGCTACATTCGTATTGTTCACGGGTGAAGCATACTTTACACGTGAATGCGCCTTCAATTAGCATAACGCCTACGTGCGGGGAGCTTCGGGGAACCCTCATCGTGCGCAACCACTTGAAGAGCGTTTCTCGGCAGTGGCGTAGCTAGGGTGGGGCAAGGGGGGACATCTGTCCCCGGGGGGCGCCAAATTGATGGTACAAAATTTTAGAATAAAGTGTTTTCCATTCGTGGCAAACAGAAAGGGGCGCAAAATCTCCAGTTGTCCCCGGGCGCTAAAAACCTTAGCTACGCCTCTGTTTCTCGGTAATTGTTTGGGCCGAAATTCTTGGAGATTAACCAATTGGTCGGTACCTTCTGCTTCTACCCATCCTTTGGACGATAGGGCATTCCCAATCTTCTTGCAACAACTCCCTGCCCGAACTCCTTGACGCAGCACGAGCTCGCTCCAGGTGGTACCAGCATCACGGGGCTCATACACATTACACGATTCATATCTGCGGCACATCGACATAGGTTTTGGACAGCGATGGATAGGTCGTAGTGGACCAGTTCATTAACATGCCAGATCACTGGACCTATCATGCATGGATTTCTCGTCCTGAGACCACATGAAGTTTTTGGTTAACGAAACGTCCGTTCCTTCAGTTGACAATCTCGTCACTAGAATATCTGTAGCTGCCGGGAGATACGTCAAAGAATATGTATTGTTAAGAAGGAAAGCTTCGCAGCAGCAGGAGTGGCTCCCTCCAAATGAAAAGAGACACAACTGCGCATGCGTGAAATATAAGTCGCCAAAAGGCGCCAAAGTTCGAAGCTGATGTTGAAGTTCGAACAGGTTCGACGGTCACGTTTATCAAGAGTTTAAAGCTGTGTGACTCCATTTTTTTTTTCCTACATATTGACAGATATAAAATCAGACATCAAACTACGATATGGATAATACAAGTTCCACTAGGAAAGCAAAAAAGCACGAAAATTCGAGTTTAAATTATCGCGAAAAGTCAAAGAACGATTCATCTTAACCCGTGTTCCTCAATTTCCTGTACAGGTGGTGGAGGTGGAAAATCTTGGCCAGGTACATCACAAAGGGGGAAATTCTTGCCAACAGGTTCCGTCGCCAAATCCCTTGGCGAATTTTCCCTCTTCTTTCTAGCGGCGTAGAAGGCAAACTGGTTTACATTACGTCTATGGAGCCTTTCCTTCTTAACATAGACTTTCTTTGGATACGTGACATGCCAAGATTCTTCCACAATGTTAGGAATTCTATCCAGCGCCACCTGTCAGGCCTACCTGACAACTTTTGATCGCAATTTCGAACACCTGCTGTAGTACAATCTTTCAATAAAATGTCTTATGTCCCATTAATGTGATGTTTTTTCTGTTCGTTTTCGCTTCTTCTTTGCACCATAACTCACAATTACGGCATTTGCAACCCTGCATTCTTACATGATTCCGAGTCGTCTCTGTATCCCCTACACACCCCACAAGTTTGTCTGTCTGGTAACGAATCCTCCTGTATAAAAACTACTATACCTTTTGGATATCTAGATCATTTATGATATCTGAATAATGATTGGAGCAATCTAATTAAAATTATATCACTGAGTTTGAATACTCGCGTATATTTCAAATAATTGCACTTATGTCTCATGCATGCTAACTTGCGGAATGCTGAAAATACCTTAAGAATTTAGGATAATGTATTATGAGATGATTTTATTTTATTACGATATTATTGTAATAATAATTAACGTACATGTTAGTCGTGGTTTTCATTCATTGAATAAATTATTGAGAACATAAATCGAACATACAAATAAAGTTTAAACATTTTATGTAAGGGCAAAGTATCCTTCTGAGCAAGGAATACGAAAAATTCAGCTATGTCTTCATCAAGATTTGAATTACTAATTTTTCAATTGCTATTACCAAAACTACGAAAACAGGCATGGTAAGAATTAAATCAGTTCTCAGATTTTCTCCCAATTTAAATGTTCCTGAAGAGAGAGTTACGAAACAGAATCGACAAATCTAGGTGGAATTTTTTCTTGCAGTGTTGCCATTGCTCGCTTTGAAAGCACTGAGTTTGTTAATTAAAAATTCTTTTAAGTTTTACAAAATATGAAATAGATAATAACAAATTCGAAATTCAAAAATCTGGGCTTTTATGTGTCCATGTTCGGGTGGAGGACTATGCTATTCAAAATTAGATGTCTCTTGGTACCGTTGTTTTTTCACAGTGCTAGAAAAATACAAAAAATTTTGCATATTCTTCATTATTTAGTTTCTTTCAATGTAACAGTGCGATAACATTTGAAAGCAATAATTTGAAAAGTCAGACACCATTATAGTGATTCAACGCAAAATGTCGTTTCGAAATTGATGTCCATTTTGGGCTAAAATATTTTATTTCTTGTAATACTGTAATATTCTTGGCCACAGACAAAGAAAAAACATCGTGCGAATCCTGTGTGTGAATTGTACGGGATAAGAATGACTATATGCATTTGCTTTAAGTTCCTCTTTGAAAATTTTAAGTTTAAAATCGTCACTATTAAGAACCGTATATTTTTTTATTCATGTGTAATCAAAATTACGTTAGCTAAAATGTTGTTTTCACAACTTACTGTATTTAGATAAAATGATTTAATATTGAAATGTTTCTTTATATATTTTAATCATTTTTGGAGATGAGTTAAAATATCAGATAAAAAATCCAAATACTTAAGCTTTAATCAAATTATTATTAGAAGTTTCAAACGTGTGAGAAATCATTTTTATTAAACTTTATTTTTATAATCCCTTTTATCCAACCAAAAATTAAAAAAAAAAAAAAAAAGGTGTTTCAAATGTTGAAGGAAAACATTATTCTTACTTCAAAAGATTTTCGAAAGCCTGTGGTTTAATGTCTGTTATGGTGATGGAACTTTCCTGTTGAGGAGTTTCACCGTAAAACATTTTTTCAAAAACTGAGCTGCCAAATGCCAACACCAGTGTATGAGCGTGGAAGGTAGTGTAGTAAGGTTGAGTTCCAACGTTGAAGACGACGTCCGTGAAAACGTCGCTGTTGTCTTGCCTCTCCCCATTTTTTCACAATAAAATATTTGTTTGATTCTACCTGTAAGTAGATGAATGATAACTTATCAAAAATTAATAATGATATGCTTTTACTAAAATACTCGAAATTTTGTTCAGCGCTGTTTACAGCTTTCAATTCCATATTTCATGTAAGAAGAGCCTTTCTGGTAAACTATTTAGTAGAAAACGGTTCGTTTCTTACCAACTAGCAAATGCTGATAAAAGCAGAACCAATTAAATGTTATATTTTCCGAGTTTTTTTTTTTTTTAATTGAAAATTTTAAATTCCTTGTGCAGCACAAATAGTATTACACAAGGCTTACAGAGGTAAGTAAAAAACTAGCAACACAACACAAAATAAAATAAACGTACAAATTCACAGATAACACGTCAGAGATAAATTTACAGAAGAAAGAAAAAGCCATTTTATGTTGGACAAATACGTGAAGAGGGAGGAGGAAATGTAATATTCACAGATATTAATTAACCTAGAAATGAGTTCTTTTCGTCCTACCTTGAGCTTTAAACAATAGAACAACAAATGTTCGACATTTTGCACTCCTCCGAAACTGCACGAACACAAGTCTGTACTAGATAATCTCAATCTCTTCAGATATGAATTGAAATTACCATGTCCAGTTAGAAATTTAGTATTTTTAAAATTGCAGAAAAAGGTGTTTATTATTGTGTCTGTAAGGAATGGAAGGAAAATATAATTTAGTCAAGGAGGCAGTAGTAGAATTCCTGTATACTTCATTCCACTTCGAATATTGTATCATCCCCGTTTTTTCCTTTTGAAAAATGACTTTGGCAGTAATCATTTGGAGTATTTACTTGAAGAACGTTGTAACTTGTACTTGCCAACCAATCAGCCCTTTCATTTCCTAGATTGCCAGTGTGGCCACGTACATGAGAAAAGATAACATCAACACCTTTATTATTAAGGTCATTAAGAAGGGCATGAGAAGTGGCAATTAATTTATTACATGAGAAGATATTCCTAAGAGAATATAAGGATGAAAGAGAATCAATGCGAATAAGCAATTTAGCACTTAGCGAGCAGTTAGATATCCACTTAATTGACTCTCTAATGCACAGTAATTCGGCTTGGAAAACACTTCATTCTTTGGGAGTTCTAAAGAGTTTGTATTCCAGTTCAGAACCATGATAGAAAACGACATAAGCTAATCCAACTCGATTATTAATTGTACTGCCATCTGTATAACGCACAACAGGGAAATTATCATCAACAGAATTGTCATAAATAATAGTTTGAATTGGCAGGATGAGGAAGATCTTTAAAGAACACATTGGTATCGAACATAAATTTGCTGACGGTAACTTGAAACTTTTTGTCATTTAAGACATGAAGGTCAATCGGAGGAAATCCTGAAATTAGGAAACAGGTGTCATAGCTAATTTGTTCTGTAGCCACGCACAACTCTTAGTAAAATTCTTCTTTGAATTCTGCGAAGTATTTTCCGAGTTTATTATTAATTTCATCCATCGCGGTATATAACAAAACAAAGACGTTTACTTAGCATCAATTAGTCACAATACATTCCCTGACCATGAAACTCTTCCGTGATAGCAAATACGTCTACGTCTGTCAAGCCCTACCCTGAGATTCTTCCACCGAACACCATCATTACGCATAGATTTCTAGAGCAAAAGTCTGCTCTGTGGTGTACAGAATACTGTGGCGTACAGATACATTCAGAGTGAGAAGTATTTTATGTCCTGTTGAAGGTTGTCTTTCTCGTGACATTTCTCAGAGAAAGAGTTCACTGTATATTTTTGTGTTTCTGCACATACGTACATATGTAAGATAAAAAATAATATGAAAGCAAACTTCTAAATTTAATTCACTATAACCTGTCTTATTTTCATTCCATTCGAGAACTTCATATCTCTGTCTAAAAATAGCGCTATAAATGTAAACTGCGTCATTCAAATTAATCATGCGATCCTACGTAGCGCTTACTGCAGATATCTCTTGCCCAATCAAAATAATTGTAAACCAAAACTAACTCGAACTGAAACTTGACTTCCTCCCTTCTTCCTCTGATGTACTGCGACACTCTCTCTCTTTTAGCTTATGCTTCCATGCTGATAAGACGCTTTGCTGCAATTGCACCAATGCGTTGCTATGATATGTAAGATAAAAAAATGTAAATGAAAATTATAATTTAAACTAACGGGTAACTCTTTAATTCTCCCTCTCTATTCTAAAAGTCGTAATAACTTCTCTTGATTGCGTCATTTCTAGATAATTCCTTTCTGCATGGCCCTCGCAGCGCTGACGACGTAATAACTGGGAATTGAAACTACCATCTTAAAAAAAAACCTTTCTCTTCGTGTGCTTCGATCTTGCATAACTACGCACTTCAGCTTCGCTCTGTGCTGTACTAGGATGTAATTTCGCTGGCCTGCTTTCTAACTCAAAAATGTAAATTTTCTTGAAAAGCCACGAATAGCGTGCTATATGATTGTTGCCACAAATATCAATTGCAGATAAAAATCGAATTAAATTTGCCTCGACTGCCGGGTTTCTTGGATGTTGCGATCTCAACACATCGGCATACGACGCAATCAGAATACAGTAAGACCCCGCTTAACGCGGGGGATACGTTCCATCGAAGTAGAGCGTAATGCGAAACAGCGCTAAGCTAGGCTATCTTAACATGTAAATAATAAGGTTAGGGGAAGACGGATAAAAAATGGTTAGGCATTAAATTTAATAATGTTTTTTTTAATAAAAATAAAATCAAACATTTATTTCTTACAAAAATAAAAACAATATAAACGCATATACTTTTAAAAACAAATAAAATTCTCAGTCAGATCATTCAGTCTATTCTGGGCTTCCAATTTTCTGCCTTTTTGTTAAGAAGACATTATGATAGATTCGCTTAATGGCATATTGCGTTCAATTTCGTCGTCAATCCATATAGAGAGTCGTTTTTCCATTTCCTCTATAATGTTATTTCTAGAACGGGTAATTCTAGTTGCAGAGCTTGACGTAGTTGCAGTTGCCGATGACAGAATTTTTTCTTTATTCTTAAGAATTCTCCTTATTGTTGAAGTTGCCAAAATCAATGCAGCGCTAATTTGAGATTGACGTTCACCAGAATCTAATCTTCTAATCACTTGCATTTGAGTTTCCAGTGAAATGCTTTTTCTGGTTGCTTTCTTTTCTTGTCTTTTACTCGTATTATCACCCATGATAAAAACTAAAGATCATAATATTTTGTCACTGTATTATTAATTGTTATAGTATTATATATCAAATTTAAACTTACAATAATGTCAACAAATGTTGTTTTAAATGATAAAAAGCAAGAAACACAACTACACTGTTTCGGATATGTTATTTGGAAACCTAGCGCTGCGCACAATTTCGGAGAATCCCCGGGTTGAAATAAAAGAGCGCTAAACCGAAACAGCGCTAAACGAAACAGCGTTAAGCGGGATCTTACTGTACTTCCTTTCAACATGAATCTACAATCTATCCTATCTGGGTATTAAGCATCGACATTGTTCCGTCTTTTCCTTGCTACTATTTCATATATATATATATACAGTAAGACCCCGCTTAACGCTTTTACGTTTAGCGCTGTTTCGGTTTAGCGCTCTTTTATTTCGACCCGGGGATTCCCCGAAATGTTTCGCAGCACTACGGGAATTCCCCGAAATTGTAGGCAGTACTAGGTTTTCAAATAACATATCCGAAACAGTGTAGTTGTGTTCCTTGTTTGGCGCGGTGCTGTGGACGCATTTTTATCATTTGAAGTATTTGTTGACATTATTGTAAGTATAAATTTATATAAATACTATAACTATTAATACAATGGCAAATATTGTGATCTTTAGTTTTTTATCATGGATGATAATATAAAAAAGAAAAGAAAGCAACCAGAAAAAGCATTTCACTGGAAACTAAAATGCAAGTGATTAGAAGATTAGATACTGGTGAACGTCAATCTCAAATTAGTGCTGCATTGAATTTTGCAACTTCAACAATAAGGACAATTCTTAAGAATAAAAAAAAATACTGTCATCGGCAACTGCAACTACGTCAAGCTCTGCAACTAGAATTACCCGTTCTAAAAATAACATAATAGAGGAAATGGAACGACAGTCTATATGGATTGACGACGAAATTGATCGCAATATGCCATTAAGCCAATCTATCATAATGCCTTCTTGACAAAAAGGCAGAAAATTGGAAACACAGAATAGACTGAATGATCTGACTGACTGAGAATTTTATTTGTTTTTATAAGTATATTCGTTTATATTGTTTTTATTTTTGTAAGAAATAAATGTTTGGTTTTATTTTTATTAAAAAACATTATTAAATTTAATACCTAACCAATTTTCTATCCATCTTCCCCTAACCCCATTATTTACATGTTAAGATAGCCTCATTTAGCGCTGTTTCGCATTACGCTCTACTTTGATGGAACGTATCCCCCCGCGTTAAGCGGGGTCTTACTGTATATATATATATATATATACACTGACTACCAATAAGTATTTGGACACCTATGCAAATGACGATATCTGCGGTCCCAAGGTACGTCACGGACTCCGCCGGTATATATCGTGTAGGAAACAGCATCGGCTTTAGTCGCATGCAAGATGCCTCGCAGTTCGGAGCTCTCTGATTTCGAGAAAGGTATAATTATCGGGTATCACAAATGTGGCCGATCCTTAAGGGACAGTTGTGGCAGTTTTACGGTTTGGACCCCTGTTACTTTCAGGACGGCAATGCCAGTTGTCATGTTTCGACGTTAACCATGGCTTGGTATGGTGCCAATGGAGTTCATCGAATGGACTGGCCTGCCCAGAGTCCAGACCTGAACCCTATCGAGAACCTCTGGGACGAGTTGCATCGCCGAATTCAGGGGTGCACTACCGTCACCACGTGTTTTTCCGGTGGTGACAGCACTACCCGTGCAAAATCGGTGAAAGAACTTCTATGTCTTCTCCAAGCCGAGTGGAAGAAAATACCACTAGCTGTCATACAAAGACTTGTGGAAACTATGCCCCGGAGAGTCCACGCTGTAATTACCTCTCGTGGAGGCTCTACCAACCATTGATTTTGAATAAAGTTAGTTTTTCTTTTCTATCACAGGTGTCCAAATACTTATTGGTAGTCAGTATATATATACATATATATGTATATATAAACTCTAAGCATTATAAGTAAAAGTCCTCAACAATATAATTAATTGCATCTTTGTATAAGAGGTTTAACACAATATCTAAACAATTCAAAATTAAAAAGAGAATCAAAGTAGTACAAATTCGAAAGCTAAAAATACATAAGGGAAAAAATATACAAGACAATAGAAATATAAAAATTAATCTCTTTTTACTGAAACTCTAATTCAGAATTTATCAGGGAAAAATGAGTTAAAGCTTCATAAAAGTTGATTAATATGCTTCGAAACGTGTTTCATTTGGGATAAAAAAAAACCGAAAAAAGAAACAAATTTTCATTACATTAATTACATTCCTTTTCGATATTAATTATATTACATCCAAAGGGACGTTTTTTAACGTTTTTTGTGTTATCTTTATTTATTAAATATCATTTTCTTCGTACTTAAACCATACAATTCAATACAACATGGTATCACAAAAAATAGAGAAATAAAAATCTGAAAGCTTTCAAATTTTATATTACTCCCAAAGGCGCGTTTTTTTCGCGTTTTGTGTATTACCTTTACTTATTAAATATCAGATTCTGCGCACAACCATAAAATTCAATTCAACAGCAATATCACAAAATATTTAAAATAGCATATCTTTAGAATTTCCAATTCACAGTCTTGTTGCACTGGAGATAATTTTTTTTTCGTACAGTGTTGCCGTTGCTTGCTTTCAGATCAACGAGTTTCTTAATAAAAAGCTCATAAATGCTTTACAAAATATGAAATCGTTACTAAATCAAATTCCAAATTCCAAATTTGGGCTTCCAGATACTCATATTCAGGTGGAGATGTACGTTATTCAAAATTTGATGGCTCTAGGTACTACTGTTTTACCACAATGTAGGAACCATACGTACATTCATGCAGATTCCTTATTATTTAATTTATTTAAATATAATACAGGACAATAATATTTGGTGGCAACAATTTGAAAAGAGATTCAGACTTTTAAAGTTTTCGATGCAAAATGTCAAAACGAGATTAAATTCCCTCTGGGCTAATGCCCTTTGTACTAAAAATGTTACTACCTAAGGAAAAATCACAAGAAAATGTAAAATCATAAAAAATTACTTATCGAAAAGAATTAGCTTACCTTCGTTGATGCACTCCCACATTTTTAGATACACGGCTTAAACAAGCTGCTATTTCTAAAAGATAAAGCATTTCTCTGGAAGGTCTAATCAGTATCTTTAGTGAAATAACGCAATATTTCTTATCTAATCTGTGACGTTTGAATGTTGATAAACTTATTTCATTTACATTGACTTTAGGATTATAATTTAACATACATTCTGAATCTATTATAATGTTTTCATGCTTTGGATAGTTAATTTGTTATTACAAGTAAAAGAAATACAGCGGTTATTTTCATATTTTTAGAATGAATACGTCAAAGAGTTTTAAAAAAAGGCAAAAGATTTGAATGAATATTTCTAGCAATAGGCTTATTTTAGGATATAGGCTTTTTTCTGGCTTATTTGAAGTCAGAAATCTGGTATATTACTTTTAAATTTATTCTTCTTTCAAAATGTCGCACGTAAAGAAGCTATGGATTCGATGATACCTTTCTGTACTTTCGAAGATAAATATTCCTATTTCATAATTGAAAAACGTATTGTATTTAAAATCTTTAAGAGAAAAATGAGCAAAATTATTAATTGGAAAAGCGAAAATCCGTCAATCATTACTTCTACGTGGAAAGAAGACTCCAAATGAATATTCGAAAAAGGTACGTACTGTTGCTAATGTTTCTAAACACAAATCATTAGTAAGAACAGAAAATCCGCAGGCGCAGAAATCAAGTGGAAATTATTTAAATGCATCTCTAGCAAGAAAAAATAAAATAATAAACCAAGACTTATAACTTTAAAGAGTTAAAAAACACAGTGTTCACCAGAATTTTCAGAGGCATGTGGTTCAACGTAGAACAATTTGTAAAATCTTGCATGGAAATTATTAGCAGGAGGGAAATATAAATACATTGTAACGTTTAATGAAGCATGGGTTTACCTAAATAACTGCATCAAAAGTATTTATTATCGAAAACAAGGAGAAAAAGTATACAAACCTAGCTCCGTTAATGTAAAGAAAGTTTCAGTGACGGGTTTATGATTGTGGCAGGATTCTTTTACAGTGTAAAATTAAAAATATGAAGAGTAAAAAAAATTAAATCAACTCAGCAGGCTTTCAAAAGGAACTTTTACGTTTGATATTTACAGAAGAATTTTCTTATGTCTGTCCCAATCACTTTCAAAGAGACTTAATCAACGAACAAGTCATACTTCAAAAAGTACCACTGCATTTCTTCCACAAAATGAAGACTGATACAGATATTGCATATATAATTTCTCAGCCTATTTCTGCAAAGTCATCTGATGTTTACCTATGGATTATTGTGCCTTTTGTTTTTGAAAAGAATTCTTTCTAAGCGCAAACACATCACAATCGATAGATTTCGGAAAGTATTGGAACGAGAATGGAAAGCAATACCCTTGCAAATTTTATTAAAAGCCCTTCTATCATTCCAATCACAATGCATATAGTCCAGGTAAAAGGGTACCATTTCGAATATCTGAAGCGTTCTCTTTACATAAAATTAGCAAAGCAACAATGAGTTTTGCGTCGATTTTAGTTAAGACACTATTGATTTCTAGGACAATCGAGTACTGGCCCTCTTCATCAGGAGCAAGGAAATCTGCAACGAAAGAAAATCTGCGGTTGTATCCCTTCCTTGCAATTTTCTTTGCTCCTGAGGAGGAGGGACCTGTATTTGTTTCCGTTCGAAATCGATAGAGCCTTGACTAAAATCTGCGATAAACACAAGATTGTAACGTTGGCACTCAAGTGTTGTATCAGATAAGAAGATATGTATTATTATAAAAACAGTTGCCTAGAAATAAAAATGGTGTTTTAATTATCAAGCTAGTTGTGCTTTTCCATCTACTACGCAACACTTTCAAGCTATCTTCTATCACGCATCTCCTTTGTATGTGAGCTACATCTCTCTAAAACATCTCAGCAATGACTTCTAAATTGTTTGACTTCTAAATTAATCTCAGCAATGATTAAAAAGATAACTGGTGCTTTTTTTAGTCAAGCTCTCGTCTAACATCAAGATGTCTACAATTAAATAAATCATTCCAATTACTATGTTTATTTATTATGCACTTTAAATTTCAAGCATGTCATACGGTCAAAATTAATTAAGCTCGCAGTGTATAACTGCATATTGAATTGCTATGCTTCAATATAAGTTTAGAAAAGAAACTTTGCAAAAAGGTAAATTTAGCATTTATTCTCCTTAGTTTATTTTCTCTCATTATCTTCTTTTTAGTCTTCCGGAGTTCTTGACATTATTTCTTCTTCTAAAACAACTTCATTAGGAGCAACTATGTTTAAAATCGACAGAAAATGCATTTCTAGTGCCAAAAAGGAAAAAAGTGCTATTTATAACCGTTTACTAAATAGTCAGGTTAAGTCATTTTAAAATCCCATTTGCGTCCTTACAGCCCCTAGTGATTCACGGCTTTAATCTACGCTTTTAATTGGAAAGAAACATAGTTTCCTTTTTTACATCCAAACTAATGGCCCTCTTTTACTTCATGTATGTCTTCATCCCGAAGTTTTCAAACTATTTTTTTATTTTTTAATTTCTCTGCATTTTATAATTAGCCCGGCTTTATTTCCTATTAAGATTTAAGCTGCAGTGTAGATAGGTTTCTTTACGGGATTTTTTTCAGAAATTAATTCACTTTTTTAATGTTCACTCTAGTGGAAATAAATAAATAAAAAACAACTAAGGTGCAAATTTTTTAAATGATGCGACTCGAAGGCTTCTAAAATGTGTTTCCTGTCAACAACATATGCGATTCCATTTAATATTATGACTTTGCTAAATAAACGTCATGGAATTCTTATCACACCATTTAAATTTTTTCCTTCCTGGGAAAGTAAGTTTTTAACCTCGAAAATGCTCCGATAATCAAGAGAGTCAAATATTTAAATTGAAATGTTTACCTACTTTGCTGTAATAAGATTTAAACAAATATCTCTCGGATTATAAGCAAACACTGGAGGAGGGACACGTATTCCTAACTACTTCTGTCAACAGTACGTTTGCTTCCATTAGAATGACTATACATAGAATCTAAGATGGATAAACATGGAAGTAAAATAAAGTATCTCCCTTTGCTTAAAATGAATTTAGTTTTTTTGTCCTTCCGTTAAATGATGAAATTAAAATTATGCATTGTATTAACTGATTAAAAACTAATTCAGTGTAAATATCTGGATGAAACTTTTTTTTATTTGAAAGGTGAATAACGTTTAAGAAAAAGGCTTTCCGAAAGAATAATTTAAAAATTAAAATAATGTCTCCAGGTTCGAAAAACTTTTTCAGATTTTTATGAAGCGATAATTAGTTTCCATTTTTATTTAAAATGTTTACTGGATTTTCTTTCTTTCGTATGCTTAATACATCCTATGCCAGAAAAGTTCCAGGACAATTTTTTTTATTTCTGAGTTTGCAGTACTAAAAAGGAATAAATACGCTGTTTTTATGTTACCTGGTATGTATTCTTATTTGACATGACCCTGGCCATGTTTCCACGCAAACGTACTAGGTGGCAGGGCTGTGCTTACCAATACATTGTTCGGATTGTTGTCGCATTCGTTAAGGATGACGCGATGGATACAGAATGTGAGCAAAGAGTCAATATTAAGTTCTGCGTTAAGCTCGGGGAAAACCCTACTGAAACGTGGGACATTATAAAGCAAGCATATGCAGGCGAGGCACTTTCAAGAGGTCGTGTTTTCGATTGGCTCAAAAGGTTTGGTGAAGGCAGAGATTCAGTTCAAGACGATCCCAGAGCTAGTCGCCCATCTATAGCCCATATCGATGCAAACGTGGAGCATGTAAGGCAGTTATTGCAAGAAGAGCGTCATCTAACTGTACGTATATCAGACTTTCCCCCGGGGGTTGACTCAGGAGAATTCCTGGGAAGTACTGGTTAGGATCTGTACCTAGGCAGTCTCAACCACGGGGATATACAAACAGTCTTTACAGGACTAGAACCTGAGTATTGTACTTAGGTTGGTTCAGGCTTGGCAGAGACCGTACTGGTACTGTCGTGTCTCTTCCTCCGGCTCTGGTTGAGCTATATGATAGATTTTTTTGTGGCCTTCTCGATGGGGGTTCAGCCCTCAGAGTCTCAGTGCATAGAGGTAGGATGTCCATGTCCCAGTGACGGGGACTGACACAGTAAGGCAGGGTACTGTTTGTTCGTCCGATGCCGAGGGAGTGGTGCCCCGAGGCAAATGTGTCTTAGCGTTTTATATTCTGCATTAGCGATTTTCTTCTTCGTCCTGCTGAGCAAAGAATCTCTAATGCCGAGCAGGGACTGTGGGGCCTGCGCCGCCACTGAGGGGTCCTACGTGACTCGGATATCTACCTCGTAAGGAATCCCAGGTCGAGGGTCCTGGTTATGGAGCACTGTACGTATATCAGAAGAACTGAATTTGAATCGTTATGTGTATCACAAGATTTTTCGCGTAGATTTAGAGAAACGGAAACTTAATGTAAGAATCGTCCACTCAACTCACACACAGATGAACGGAAAGAGGAAAGACGAAGAATTTCTGCTAAACTATAGGCTAGAACCAGACGTGATGCCACATTTGTGTTAAAGATTGTGTCAAAGATTGATTTTTTTGTTTTGTTTTTTTGTTTCTGTGAGTGAAAAGGTGACTGAAAGGAAAGCTTCATCAAGATTATTTCATACATCCAACGGGTTGTGACAAATGAGTTTGTAGGTATCACAGTTGAAGATTTCCCTGCTTGCTTCCAAGACCTCCAGAAACGCAGGCAGTTGTGTATATATAGCCAAGGGGACTATTTTGATAGTAGCTAGGATGCAATTTTCTATTTTTTACGACCTTTGTCCTGGATATTTCTGAAAAAGGATGTATACATACTATTAATATTGTATCGAATCAATAATAACATTTATCAGTTTATTAGAAAATACGCGTGTATTCTGCATCTACATGTCATCTACCCTTAAAACTTTCGAAAAAATATTTGTAACGCTATGTTTAAATTATTTTTTAAAGTATTCTCGCCCAACGGTACTTCATTTAGAAGTATTTCCGAATTAGCACACTGATTATAAT